AAACATTCTTACATGTTGAAATTACAGAAAATAAAAATAAAAAGACAATTAAGTCCTCCTGCGTCATACTAGGGGAAAAATCAACATCATTAATATTTGTTTTATTACACACAGTTTTATATTTTGTGTGTATCTTTCAACCATAAACAAGATTTAGTTAATTAATCTCAAGGGATAGAGCAGTTGGTCCTGGTCAAACTGTCTGCAAATGTTTTGGATCTTACTATGTAGTTAACCTCTCAATACGTGTTGTCTTGTGTCTTTGAAACGTGAGTAAGATTATCTATTTACTTATTATATTAATCTTACTGAATGTGAATATTTCCTCTTCATTTATTAAATATCTAGAATTTGAATAATAATTAAATTTAAATTCTTACACATTTATAGCCACTCCTCCGCTTTCATTTCTTTCAACTTTCCACTTTTGAAAAAAAAAAAAAATACTCCAACTTCCCACACAATTTTTTTTTTTGTTAATAGAAACAAAATTCTCGTCTTCTAACATGTGGAATTTCTCTTACTTGATGAAACGCTTGACGGATGGAATTTCTATTACTTGATGAAAATGCTTAGACGGATGGAGACGTAAATTTTGTTCAACGGTTCAATGTTTGGTGCTAATTATTTCAACCTTCTCAATGCGCCGGCCTGGAAAGAGAGAGGGGGATTGAGGGGGCATTGAAGTATTGCCCATTAGACTTGTGAAAAGATCGAGTTTGAATTAGTAATCTAAATTCGAATTCAATTTCAAAAGTTTGATTCGAATTCGATCTAATATTTATACGAATTTTATTTTTCGTGGTTCATATTTGAATTTGTTAATAATTTGAATTTAACAAATTATAAATAAATTTTTTAATAAATAATTTAATTTCTTTAATATTTATATAAAAATATATAAATAATTTGGATAAGATCATAATCGGATTCGATATATCCATATTCAAATTCGAATCGAAATTCATGAAATATAAGATATCGGATTTGGATTCAGATTATCGATAAAATATATTAATCAACTAGTTATTACTTGTACTTGAATGCACAAAGTAATAAAAAAAGGGGTCAACAATAAATATATTTTTATTTATATCAAAAATCAAATCATAAATATAGAGGAGAGAGAAAAAAATTTACCCCAAATTATAATAGGGATGAGCAGTGGTAGTGGTGATAGGTAGCAGTTGTGATGGTGGTGATAAGAAACAGTGATGGCGACGTTCGTGGTAATGGTAGCAGCTGTGGGTAGCAATGGTGATGGTGGTGGCTGATTTTGGGTGACGATTATGGTAGTGGTTAGGGGTGCAACTAGGGCAGGTTAGACAATCAACTCTAGCTTAATCTTAAGTATATAATCTTCAATTCTAACCTTAATCTTATCTCGGGTTGATAGCACTGCCTGAGTTTAATTCAGTTTAATGATTTTCGGGTTGATTTTGAGTTATTTTACGGACTGATTTCGGGTTACTTCAATCAAAATTTTAACATAAAAATCATAATATTAAGAACTTAATGTTTGAGATAATGCAACCACAACCATACATAATACAAATAAATACAATTAGAATCCTTGCACAAACATAGAATTTACTGCTTAAACATAAAGTTTACTGCTTAAACAAAATCCTTGCACAACCAGAATCCTTGAGAGAGACTGAGAATGAGTGAGGGTCTAAGGGAAGCGCATATTTGAGTTGAGATTAACCCTAGGATAAAATTGTATTTATAGAGTATTAATTCGGGTTTAACCCGTGAACCCGATGGCTCAACCCTAGGTCCGCCCAAATTGAATTCGGGTTGAGATTTTTTAATTCAAATTCAACCCAAGTATTAAAAATTATAATCCAAGTCGTAATTTTTTCGGGTTAAAATCGGGTTAGCCCGCCTAAGTTGTACCCCTAACCATGGGTGACGATGATGGTAGTCATGGGTGATGATAGATAGTAATAGTGGTGGTGATGGTGGTAGGTGTGGATGACAGTGGGTGGCGATAGTGCTAGGCGATGACGGTGGCGACAATAGTAATGATGGTTAGGTGATGACGGTGACGATAGTGGTGGTGGTAAGGGGTTGGAGTGGGGGTGGTGGTGGTAGGTGTAATTGTGAGACAATAGTGATTGTGGTGGGGGTGGCAACAACGATGATTGTGGGGCGGTGGTAAGGGTGATGGTGGTGATGGGGTGGCAGCGGCAGTTGTTATGGCAAAGGTGGTGGTAGAATGACGATAGCAATAGTGGTGGTGGTAGTGGGGGTGGGATAATTTCAAACACTATTTTTTTTTTAATACTTATGAGAAATTATAAAGTATTTTTAAAAAATTCATTCAAATACAACTTTAGGGGACATATTTCCTATTAAATTTGAGGTATTAATTTTAGCCGTCAGATTAATTTTAAAGTAAAATTTAAAAAAATCTCAACTGCGAAAAGCAAAAGTCATTGTGTTTATATTTTGAGATTTGAATTGTATTGTACTTTATTATATAAATATCTGACTAATCGGTTTCGAATTCAAATTAGAATCTGATCCATTGACAGGCTAGTGTCTACCCTCAATTTTTTTTTGTTAGATATTAGATATGTATTTTTTAAATAAAATTTAAATATATTTAATTATCACCACCTTATTATTGAATTCTCGTGATATGGATTAAGATAAACTCATACATAAATGATTACTAACTTTTGACTAATGCAATTAGGATTTAGTTTTAGTACTTAATATATTGTGACATTAAGTCTAATTAAGAGTCCCAATATTTAATAAAGTCCATTTATCCATATAATGATAAAAAATCATTGAGTCCCCACTAACTAAATCTCAAATTATGTACAACTAACATTATTTTTAACTTTTAGATTCGTTTTCGGACATGCCTAGATAAGTTTTAGACATAGTGATATTATTTTGTTATTTTTAAAAATTATATGGTTATTTTATTATTGTATAGAAATGAGTGTCATTGTATAAGAATCTATAGGGTTATAAATATAAGATTGTTACCATGATTTTATATATATATATATATATATATATATAATATTTATTGACGACATTGATTTTTGATGCTTTCAAAATAAAAAAAATTATCAGTGTCAATTATAAATGATAATAATTAGTCTCATTCTTGGTACCAAATTATAATTAATTTCTTTTTTATTTTGTGTGTACATGCTATGTAAATCAGTTTTTAAACTTTTATATTTAATAAACTTTTAAATATTAAATATAATTTCGATAAATATGCATTTATGAACTTACGCGGTCAATTGGAAAAAACAAAATAAAACTTATTAATGTGCTCACCCACCATAAACTAATTTTTTGGCTTCACCCCGCTCAATGTTGGAACATATTATAAATTAATATAAAATTCACTATTTTCAAATAAATCTTTCTTTAATACTCGACCGGAAAGAAGCTAACAGTGAGTGTAATTGTCATGTCATATGACATTGTTATGAACAATGGTGTGTATACTCAATAAACAATTATTATGTCAAGCACATAAGTTAATTTTTTTTTAAAAAAATTCTGTCAAAGTAATAAATAACAGATATTTTTTAAAAATGTTCAACTTCTGACGATGAACTATACTTGATAGGATTGTTAATGCACTAGAATTCAGTCTGAAGCCGATTTGGATCTATTTACTTGGATATGAACGAATACCATTATGAATCAAATTTGAATAATCGTACCAAAAATTTGATTATAAGCTGATTTAAATAAGTATTAATTTTTTTATCCATTGGTTAAATAGATTGAATTCGATAATATATTTTTTAATTAAATTTAAATTCAAATTTGATGTCTACTGTTTAACACGATCAAGTTGGTGAGTTAGACTGACACAAAAATTTCTCAACCATTAGTCAGGGAATTTTGCCGGTACAGTGGATCCCAATCTGATTCCGCCAACCAATCCGTTTTGATCTGGTCAAGTAGACCCCTCCAAAGTGGGTTTTGCTCTAATACTGGCCTAACATTCACAGATCATAGGTAGCTCAATCAAACCATTATGAGAGAGAAAGAATTCTTGACTAAAAGGACAAGTCAGTCTTTTCCTTCCCCGGGAAAACAAAACAGAAAGTAAATGTTGAAAGAGACACAAAACGAGAAAAATAGGGTAAAGCGTGGGCCTACACCCATCTAGAAATCCTTGACTTTTATGAGCCTAAGAACAAAAATCATGAGCCACACCAATAAACAACTAATTGCAATTTAAAAAAAAAAATATGGGCAAATTATACTTTATCCTCCTCAACTAAGTTCTTATCTCAAATTATCCCATTATAAGTGTCACAATTTTTAACCAATTGGTCACCATTGATTCTCTCATAATTTTAGGAACCGAGAAGTCAATCCTTGTTAAAAATCAATGATTGATTTCTGATATCTTCTTCTTTGAAGTCTTATCGTGTCACGCTTTTGAATTTGTTTCGTTTATTTGAAGATGTTTTTTTCACTGCTATAACTATATTGTTATATATTATAATAAATACTTGATTATTTATTATAATAATGATTTACCTATGTATATCAAGAATAACATTAAATTTTTTATGTTATATCTCGAAACTATGATTATTTATTTCATAATATGTCCAATTGCAAATATTTTTACAATTTGGATTTAAAATTAATTTACTTTATCCCACAAACAATTTGAATTGTTTTACTTTGTCCTAAATCTAATGACACGCGAGTACTTTCGATTTTAAACATAATTGTTGTTTTGTTGTGGAATAACATAAAACTATTTCAAATAGTTGAAGGAGTAATATGACAAATTCAATAGTATAGGAGTGAAGTGAGACCATGACTAAAATTTATAGGTCAAAAGTGTAATTTTCACAAAAAAAAATAAATATATAGTCACAATAGGTCAAGGAGTCATTGATGACAATACCACCACAACCCACCTCTCTTCACCCCCACCAAATTAACCCTTGCGTTCTTCCTCTATTCCAATCAGCCTCTTCCTCACAAAAACCATGCTTGATCCAAGACCTGAACTTGCCAACGACTATGTCCACTTATTTGATCCCAACAGCCGTATAAATGATAGTTATGGCAGTTGGGGGGTTTTGAATTATAGTACCAGAGCCCGAAAAACTGCACAAAACTATGAGAATTACAGGAGTTGGAATGGTGATGGGGTTCAATTTAGGCCTGAAAGTATTGAAGATGAGTCTGGTGTTTGTTCACCACCCTTGTGGAAGACTAGTCCTCCCACAAGTCCGGCTAGTCCACGGCATCACCAGAACAATTATCGGTATCTCTCTCCAACATCAAGAACTCAGGCAATAGCCAGAGGGCAGAGGGAGCTTATGGAGATGGTCAAGAGAATGCCCGAATCATCGTATGAGCTCTCCTTGAAAGATCTTGTTGAGCAGCAGCCTAGAATTGAAGCTCCAGAGGAATGTTTGCTTCAAGAAAAAGAATTTGATGATGAAGTTGTTCATCAAAGGGTGAAGGTAAAGAGGCAAGAAAGTAAGAGAAATGAAAAGAAAACAAAGATGATGAGAAATGCAAGCTTTGATCATGGAGGAGGATTGTTTCTTAAGATGGTGTTTCCAATTTCATTTGGATCAAAGAAGAAGAAAAAGAATTCATCAGTTACAAACACTTGTGCAAAAGTTTCTCCAAAGCCTGAGAATTTTGATAAGGCCTCAAAGGTTGCTGAGAAAGATTGGTGGAAGAAAAGATTTTCGGGTTCGAGTTCAAGTAGAACAAGTAGCAATAGTGGCAGCAGTGGAAGCAGTGGAAGCAGCAGCAACAACAGGTATGTTTAATTTTCAGAAAACCAATTGATGAGATTGCTACAATTCTGATTCACGTATAGGTGTTTATGAGTGATTGAGGGCAGATAACTGATTAGATCTTGGTGTGGTAGGTGGGTGTTAATAACTTAACCGTTGTTAATTGATGAAAACTGATTTGGTTATGCATTTAACACGATCGTAACAATGGGTCGGTTAGGTACTTACTAATCAATGGATTCTAAGAATCTTTTTATCTCGATAGACCTATGTCACGACCGCTGAGCTTTTGAGTGTGGGAAACTGGAGCATTGGTCAAGAGGGAGAAAGAAGAGGAATTATACATTGAGAAAGTCCAATTAGCTACAACCAGACACTTTTTTTTGTTATCCTATTTTTTGACTGACCGGATGGGTGACCCCTCAACCAACTATGACTTTTCTCAGCAGTTCCCCTCACCCCGCACCCTCTAATTCTTGAGTTTTGGGTTCAAAAAGAAAAGGATCTGCTATCTTTGCTTATGGAACAGGGTAACTGGGAGGAATAAAAGTAGAATGCAAGCAAATAATGCATACAAAAACTGTAAATCATATGGAGTACAAATAAAGTGTAATCATACCACAGTGTTATATTTTAAGAGAGAAACAAAAACAAAATAGAAAAAAAAAACTGAGTTACCGGTGACACTACATAAACTAGCTCTGGCTGAAGCAATCCTAAACAAAGAGTGAGGAGAAAATTAGAAGTATTACTAATGAGTGAGAAACCAGATTTTTAGTAATGGGGAGAACGAATGAAAAGATTCCTGCTTGTGCAGTGAGACCCCGTTCTCAACCTATTTGATTAGCCAAATCTCTTTGGATCCTTTGATACCATCCATTGAAACTGGTTGGGATGATTCTCGTTTACTCTCTCCATGAAAGCATAACAACAACGGGAATAACTCATGATTTAGAGTTAGAGCTCTTGTACTTGATGACAAGTTCAAGCTTTAGAAGCTTGTGAAAGGGATGTTAAATATGCCAAAGATAATATGTAAAATACCTTGACTGAGCAATTGCTTTTGCATCAGCTACAACGTTAGAGATGGAAATGCCAGATTTATTAGGTACTATGCAGTTACCATAGAGAAGAAAATAACTGATAGTAGAATTTATTGAGTGATTACCAATTTAAATGGTTCAGATTGACAAAGATGGATATTGCATGAATGGAAGTTATACATTAGGTCGAAAAATTCATGTTTACTTTCGTTATTTGAGAAAGATTTAATGATCTGCATCGGCAATTCATGTTCATCATTCTTGTATGTAACATATGCTTGTTGAATGTAATGCAGGAAGAAGAGCGGTTTTTTGCCCGGTTGTTGGTCCTTCTTCTCCTTCAAGAATAGAAAATCAGGAAAGTAAACGGAGCCAACATTTCTGAATTGACATTCTTGTGAAGAGGTTATTAATGTTTTCTGAATACAGTAGAGTATCAGAAATTGTTACAGAAGGATATGGCAGTATAGCTTATGTATATTCTTAAATATTTTTGAAGAGTTGTCAATTGCTTTTGTTGTTTTTATTTCCGGATTTCTTCTACCCCTTGTTTGCCAAGTGATGAGAGTTGCTCTCAATCCAATAGGTGCTTCTGTTTGAGGATTTGTATGCAAGTTATACGATGAATTGTAATGTTTAACAAGAGAAATTCTATAACGTGAATTAGTGTTAACATCAATTTAGCCCTCAAATGGCCTTAAGGCCACATGTTGAAGGGCACGGCTAATCACAGGTTGACTTCTCTTTGCTGGGCATGATCAAGTTGGAATTATTAGGATACTGGAACAGCCAGTTGAAAGGCGCGTGATTCAGAGCAGATTGACCTGCTACAAACCATCTTAAACATGACATTAACAGAGAAATATCCAGCAGACCTTGCTTGGCTTGCATTACAGGAATGGAGTATATTTACTGCTTAGAGTTGGTCATGATCTTCCTCCACTTTAATGTAATATTTTTCAAACTTTACTACCCTGCAAGAGTATTCTTCATTTCTTCTTAGGCTCTTCCCCCTATGTGCCTGTTCAAAATGCTGGCAAATGAATTGTCTGAAAGATAGAAGTGATGGAAAACTGAACTTTCTTTTGGGGGAAAGGCATCGTTTAAGTGAAACAGGATGAACAGAGCAGCCTAATTCATCTGATTCGATACTATATCTTTGATGAAGCAATCTCACTCTGGCCATGAGCTGAGTGATCAAGTAATGTTACACCAACAAAAAAAAAATGACTAAAATTATGGATGATGTGATACTGCAATAATGATGTTTTGTATTCCACTGTTACTCATTTAAAATTCAAGATTTACTTAGAATGTAAGTTGCCACATTATTTGGGCTCAATTATTTGTCCCTGTTTTTTGGTCGGTATAACATTATTTCATGTGATCATGTGAATCTAATGATTTTTTGGAAAACGGGGAATCCCACTATGCATATCAAAACATCTAATAATTTTTACTTTACACCTTCAAAGACTAAACTTTCACAACGTACTCTTAATATATTAAAAGTATCATAATCGGGCTCTTTTGTTATGTTCTGTTGCTCGTTCCATCAATGTTAGTAGAATAGTTTTTACATAATGAGTAATGAAAACTATCGAAAGGGCCACATTACAATTATTTTAATATATTCGGGGCACGTTTGTTTGGGGGATTGATTATGGGTGGTATTGAAAATGATATACATTCCGCTCCTAACCAATGGAATACTATGTCTGGTCTAAAACTTTTATCCCATCCTTCCCCTTGTTTGTTTCTTACAAAAAAATTTATGTGATACCTACAAAAAAGTGTGTCAGATGAAAAAGACAATTGTAACCTTATAATCTAAAACAATTCATACCCTTGTTCGTTAATTAAACCACCTATGCATGACTAAAACCAAAAACCTTGCTTTTTTTTTAAAGGAAAAGGAATTATCATCTCTAGGATCACTTCGTGAAAACAGCATAAGTCTGAACACAAATCCTTATTACTCTGAAGTGGGATTAAGCTTTCTTTGGTTGAATCATGACATAAGAGTTCATTACATAAAAGCTTTGGAATTGTACAATAAATTATTTTCAACCTAAGTGCAGTCGCTTCTCTCATTACAATAAATTATCTGCAATCGCTTCTGTAGAAGCCAAGCTCCTCTCATCTTCTTTGTACACGACATCAAGAACTGTCATGAAATTCCTCAATACCTCCTCAAACTCCTCTTCACCATTATTGGCTTTAGCGCTGTGTTGTATCATGTATTTTAATGCACTGTTGATCAGTAGAATTCTTCTTCTTCATGGCCTGGAGACTTTTGACAAAATCAAGGCTTTGTCTAGCTAATGGTTAACATAGTTTGTGATACGTATAAAAATTCAAACAAATGATGTTTTCTGTATACATTACTAGAGATAATAAGGCTCATATCAAGGTGGTCAGTGCAATAACAACAATGGCGGTCCAACTGTAGACAGTTACAAATACTGGTATGACCTAAATCCAGGTATGCACTGTTGCAATTATCTCCCAGGTAACACACACACATACAAAATCAATCTCAAACACACAGAGACCAATTGCAGCAACGATGACTGGTTAATATTTTGCAAGAATATGTCCAGCCTTAACCTGGCCTCAAACTAACAGCCCCTTGGAACAATGTCCGGATATAAGTTCTGTTAGAGTAGTTAGCATATTTAGACTTAGGGGTAACTTAGTCATTTATTTTCTTTTATGTTGCCATAGTTTAGTCTGTTTGTTTTTTTTTTTTTGCCCTACTATATAAATACCTCTTATATGTAGTTTTCTTTTAAGGTTGTTCTGGCTAGTTATGCCTCAATAATATTTCTTTCTTCTAGTTTTTTTCTTTTTTATTTGATCAAAGTTTACATTGTATCAAAACATGGTTTCAATCCAAAATATATTGTAGCATCACATTAATTTAGTTGGAGAAAGAATATATTCTTAGATTAGGGCTTACATCATCTATGACAATTTATTTTTTTTCTATTTTCTTTGACTTCTTTACGTCATATCAAGTTTAAATAGTGCGACTAAAGGTTTTTTGTGCTGGGTTGTGTGATTTGAGGGTTAGTAATTGGTGGGTTGCTAGTTTTTGTGGTTCTAAGGGCAATGAACAGTGACGGAAAAACTGTTCACTCAATGAACAGTGCCGAAATTACTGTTCACGCGCTGTGAACAGTACCGAAGTTACTATTCATGTTGTGAACAATGCCGAATTTTGATTTTTAGTGTCATTTTTGCTCTATTATTGTGTAAAAAACCTCCATTTGTTATGTGTATTTGATTTGCAAAGTTGTTGAGTTGATTTGTGGTAAACTTTGGATTGTTTGGCGTTGGCTGCTTCTTTTGGTTATAGTTTCTGTTCTTGGCTTCTGTTGGTTGGTTGCTGTTCTGGGGAGGTCTCTTTTGACTTCATTAGTGCCTTCTTCTTTTTGTTTGTGATTGGATTTGTGCTCCCCTGTGTGTCGGCTGACTGTTTCGGTGTTTTTGTTGGTAGGTCTTACTTGCTAAACTAATTGTTGCATAGATTGCTAGTTCTGGTTATTGGGTTTGCTGCCTCTTCTCTTTTGCTGGTGCTTCTAGTTACTGGGTCTTCCTCACTAAACTAGTCGATGCTGGTGCTCTCGTTGTAAGGTAAGAAATCCTAATTACTAGAGTTTGTTGATTTTGGCTACTGCTAGTTTTGGAATAGTTCTGGTTTGGCTATTCTTCTGTTAAATTGGGGTATTACTGCTTTGGGCTACTGTTGCCTTGGCTATTTTTCTTCTACTATGCTTGGGTTTTGACTTTTGGGCCCTTATATGCTATTTGGGTGTTGGGTTGTTGCGCTACTGGATTTTGCTAGGTTGTTGGGTTGCTAGATTTTGCTGAAGGTTATTGTTTTGCTTTGGGCTACTAGATTTTGCTAGGTTGTTGGGTTGCTAGATTTTGCTGAAAATCGCTTACTGTAGGTTATTATTTTGCTTTGGGCTACTGGATTTTGCTTGGTTATTGGGTCGTTTGTTTAGTTTAATATTTGCTTTGGATTGCTTGATTTGGATATTATGACTGGTAAAAATTCTGATTCTCTTTAGGCTATCAGTGTCAGATTAAAAGGTGAGAACTATGTGTATTGAGCTTATGTTATGAAAAATTTCTTGTTGAGTAAGGAAATGTAGATTTATGTTAGTAGTGATTCGTTAGCTCCAACTGATCCTAAGGTCAAGAAATATGTTGACTTAAAGAATACTTGAGAAATCAACCACGTTAAAATCATCACTTGAATTAACAACTTAGTTGATCAGACTATTGATTTTCATTTGACTAAGTTTAATATAACTAAGGAGATTTTGGATTATTTTGCTACCTTATTTGTTTAGTCCAATTTTGCAAAGAGGTATCAGTTAGAGCATGAAATTAGAGCTGCACGCCAGGGTGATAAGAACATCCAGGAGTTCTACTCAGTTATGACTGAATATTGGGATTAGTTAGCACTTACTAAATTGAGTACTCATATGATATATCACACTTTTAGAGAGGAGCAGCGGTTGATACAATTTTTGATGGCCCTTAGGGATAACTTCGAGGGACTTTGTGGTTCTATTCTCCATCGTAATCTACTTCTCTCAGTTGATGCAGTAGTGAATGAGCTTCTGGCTAAAGAAGTTCATCTTAAGACTCTCTTTGGGAAAGGTCTTATTCCATTGCCTACTCAGATTGTATTAGTTGTGCCTCCCACAGTGACTTCTCATTCACAAAATTAATATCAGGGTCTTGTACCTTCAGATGAATATAACTTTTGTCATGAAAAGGGCCACTAAAAGACTCAATGCCCTAAACTGGTGAACAAAAATGCTAGGGGGACAGCAAATCAGTCATTTCAGTTTTAAGATCGTCATTCAACAACAGTTGTAACACCGGTGGATGAGTCCTCCTTACAGGCCCCCAGCCTAACTATGTTTGCTGATCAGTTGCAGAAGTTAATCTCTCTCCATCAGCCTGGAGTCCTTACAATATCTCTTTCATAGGTTCATTTACCTCAAGTCCTTCAGGATTTACAGTCCAACAAGCTGATTAGGATAGGCAATAGAAAATGAGGACTGTATGTGTTGGAGGAGCTCCATGTTCCAGAAGTTGCTGGCTCTACTGTTGATTTATCTTCCTTCCCTTTCTTTTGATTACTATGCAACTAGTAGATTTCTTCACAAAGTCGCATCCTATCACTCGTTTTTATTTTCTTCTTGACAAACTCTTAATATTTTCTGCTACCACATCATGAGTTTGATGGAGGGTGTTAGAGTAGTTAGCATATTTAGACTCAGGAGTAGCTTAATCATTTGTTTTCTTTTATGTTTCCCTAGCTTAGTCTGTTTGTTTTTCTTTTCCCTTACTATATAAAAACCTCTTATATGTAGTTTTCCTTTAAGATTGTTCTGGCTAGTTATGTCTCAATAATATTTCTTTCTTCTAGTTTCTTTCTTTTTTATTTGATCAAAGTTTACAAGTTCAAGCACAACACACACAACACTATCATTCCCTATACAAAAAATAAATTGCATGCACAATACATCAACATATATAACCTCAAGCACATCAACTGCCACCAAATATAAGATACCAGCGAAAACACATTAACTGCCACCAAATAGAAATACAACTAGCT